CAAAAATACTCCAACTTCTCCTTGACCTCTACTCCCATTCCATGCCATAGACAATTGACACTCAATTTAGCTGATGAGAAAAGCAAGGCAAACAGGTCTGATCTCACTGTTCAGTAAGACCTAGCACCTAAGCCCCTCTAAATCCAAATACCCTCAATCTAAAACCTACAGGGTTTCAGGGAACAGGAAAGTTTAAAAATCCATGTTCATGCTAATTAAGGCATTACATCCCATCAAGCTGAGCTCAATGTATAATTTATCTTTTTATTTTTTGAGACAGGATCTTGTTCTGTTCTCCAGGGAGGCTTCAAAGTCCTGGGCCCAAGCAATGCTCCTGCCTGAGCCTCCTGTGTAGCTTAGACTACTAGTAAACAACATGGCACCCTGCTGATGATAATTTGATAAAGCTACCTGAGCCAACTGACATTAGGCATATGACCCTACCCAAAAGCCTTCAGTTTTGGTGGATCTCAAAAGAAAATCTGTAAAGGCTCTTAACCTGGACATAGCAAACCAGGGCAGGATTCTGTCACTGTCTGGACATGTCTGACCTAGAGCTGATGTCTTGGATCCCATGATTGTCAACTCAGAAGTCCCAAGACTAGAGATTTCATTTTGATGTCCTTCTTAGTTAATAAGAAATTAACTGTAGACCATTTAAAAGATATTCATTGATGCTTATTCTCTCTCCTCTTCCGGAAGGTCACATTCAGTTTTGAGGAGACACCATCAAGTGGCCACCCAACTATACATTCTGTTAGCACACTACCCTTGTATCTCCAGAGATGGCATTGAGTTCAGCCACAGATCTGAGCTGGGTAATTGGCTCCTTCCTGCCCCAGACCTACCTATACAGCTTCCCATCCTGACCCTTTACTCACCCACTCCAGATCAATAGACAAGCAGTGAATACAGGAATGGCTCATCATGAAAAATTCAATCACATTAGAAACTAGAAGAATTCTCAGTTCATCTAAAAGAAGAGTTCTTGAACAAATTAATTACACAAAGAATTTTCTTTTTATTCAAGAACTTTTAAATCATTTCAGAGAGAAAGAACAAAATGAGGGATGATCACCACAGCCAAGACTTCAAAGTTCCTAGGCATGCACGGCATAGTCCCAGTGCATGAGTCCACAGGGGCAGTATGAGGGTCCCCAGTGGTGTATTTCAGGTTCCTTCTAGGGCTTCGGCTGAAGGGCATTGTACTGCAAGGCATCCTCAAGATGAGATTCCTTTCCTTTCTGGGTTCCTCTGGGATGTGAGCCTCAGTTTTCAGCAGCTTCTGGGGACATCCTGGGCTCCAAGAGAAGGCCTGAGTGTGGGTTTATCCAATTGTCCAGGCACTGGCACCTCCTGGGAAGTTCAGGACCCATTGGTCCCACTAACCATAGTGTTTGCAGATATTTGAGGTGACTAGAGCTCCTGAGAGGTTTTAGTCATTGGCTGCTGGATGGTCTTGAACTCGGTGCTGGTCCATCTCAACTCCCTGCTCCTGGGTAACAACACGTACTGTTAGTGCACGACCTCAGTTCCCCAAAGACAGCTCCCTGCTCTTTGTAAGCCCAGTGAGGCAGTTGGCTTTCTGGAAAATTCACATCTGTGCAGCTCTGGAGGCACTGGCAGGAGTGGCAGCTCAGTGAAGGAAAATTATCTGGGTTCAGGCCTAGGGGAATGCGGGGCTGTGGACAAGATCTCCTAAGAGTCAGTGATCTCCAGGTTGACTGACAGACTGCCATAGCTTCAGCTTCCCTACCATGCCAAGGTGTGTGTGTACCTGGCCTAGGAAAAGGACCAACTCATTCAGTCTGGTATGGACTGAAGCTTTTCATAGTGTTCTGTCCAGTAGTTGACCTCAGAAGAAACACCCAATCATGTGGGAGGGACATTCATTTGCATCATACATTGATTGAAGACCCTCATAGGATTAAGGTGCAAGTGGACCAATCCTGAAGGCATTTTGGAAATTCCTTGGTTTTGATTGAATTAGGGAAAGGATGCGTGGATAAGGTAAGATACAAGCGAGCCTCTAGTTCTTTCAAGTTTCAATTCACTCCAAAAATTCTTTCTCTATTTCAAATAAACATAGACAAATTAACCAGCCATGGTGGTGCACCTCTGTAATCCCAGCAGCTTGGGAGGTCAAGGAAGGAGAATGTTGAATTCAAAGCCAGCCTTAGCAAGGGCAAGGTGCAAAGCAACTCAGTGAGACTCTGTCTCTAAATCAAATACAAAAAAAAAATCAAAATCACTGGTCTAATTCTGCACTTAATTTTTGTTTGTTTTTCGATGATTCTTGTGATTGAATATTAGGCTTTACCACAGATTTTCCTCTCAGCCCATTTTATCTTGTGTTTGAGATAAGATCTGGCTATCTTGCCTAGGATGGCCTCAAACATCTGTATTTCTTCCCTCAGTCTCTTGCTTCCTTGGGATTGCCTGCAAGGGTCACTACACCTAGCTAGTTCTCTGCATATGGACTAGCTGGTTTCAGAGACCAGACTCAGTGGTGCTGGATCATACTCTTAAGACCATGGATATACATACCCTTGATGGCCTTGACAGTTTTGCTGTGTTTCAAAAGTGAACACAAATATTTGAACCTCTTGATTTGCAAGATTTTGTGGAGCTTTTTATATCAACACAATAGTGAACCATTTTCACCATAACCTCTAACAAGTTAAAGGAAGAGGATTGATTCATTCTTCAGGAGATTATATTTTTAATTGATGTAAAAAGTTTCAGGGGACATACCCAATTGTATTTAGAAGAAATTTTAACATTTCCTTTTTTTT